CTGTTAAATATTATAGTTTAGGTACACAAAGTAATGATGAAAATATGACATTGATATGAAGTGAATTGAATATTGGGGAAAATACCCTTTGCCAGTAATTGTACAGTGCCTGCCTTATCTTCTTGCTTATTACATAAGGTCAAGTAAAAGCCCTCAGTAGATTTCCAACCTAAAATCCTGGCCTAGAATTTATCACAGTCCCTTTCTTTGGACTTTAAATTATGGAGGTGATCTTCTTTCCCCTGCCTCCTACAATGAAGAATTTTTAAATATAGTGATGATATTGACTTGTGGGTATTTAGAACTGAAAGTTCCTCATGTTGCTGGGCACCAGCTTGCCTTCCAGTCCATTTTCCATAGCATCTCACTAAGCGTGCTGAGATAAGACCCTCAGTAGAAAGTTTTGTCTGTTTTCTGAGAAGCAGACATTTTGCCTAGTACCTCTATAGTCACGAAAGAAGTAACTGTTTCCAATGTACAGACTTGATGAGTATTGGTCACTGCTGACTTTCTTTGATAAAGTATCAATGGGTTCATAAAGGAAGTAGCCCATTTGAATGCAGAATGAAGAGGGGCAGAGTATAAAAATGTAACTAATGGTCCATTAAGACTAATCTAGTGGAACCACTGTGGAAATCAGTGTGGAGATCCCTCAAAAAACTAGAACTAGAAGTTCCATTTGACCCAGATTTCCCCTTTTTGGTATCTTCCCAAAAGAATTAAAAGCATCAGACCACAGTGATATAGGCACACCCATTTTTATAGCAGCATAGTTTGCGATGGGTAAACTCTTGGAAACAGCCGAGATGCCCATCAACCAATGAATGGATACAGAAAAATGAACCATACAGAAAGATAAACTGGAGACATTTACAGCTAAATGGATGCACTTTGAGATCATACTCTTAAGTGAAGTGAATAAGACACACACGTGTAAAAACCAAATTGTTTCTCTAGTGTGAGAAACTGAAAGTATACATGAGGACCAAAATGTATAATAGATATTGTGAAATAGTAATAAAATGTTCAAAAGGAAAGGGGAACTAGGGAGCAGGGTAGGAAAAAGGAATGAAAAAAATGAGAAAAGAAGGAAAAAAATAAAAACTAAATTTTTGTAAACAGGGAGAGGTGGAGGGGTAGAGGGAAGGGAGGAGGAATGGAGAAAAATAAGAGCCGAGATGTATCATGGACAGGTACAAATTCCCTATGATGAATGTGATCATATTGTGTACCTAAATTGTACCAATAAACTTCATAATAAAAGACTAATCTTGAAAGAAGGAAAAATGAAATTAAAGATGTAGTCATCCTGCCCAATTGTTTCAGATAGTGGTGTGCAATAGCAGACATTTAATAAGAAGAAAACAAAGAGATGAGCTTGGCTTGAAAATGTTTCCCGGAAAGAAGTTACTGCCGGGGGGCGGGGAACCATTTGGAAGCTCGCTAAAATTTTGATGAAATTATTTTCGCTTAAAAACCATTAGCCAAGAGCACACAAGCTTGTGTTTCGAAGCCTTGGAACAATCTCAAGGCAGAAAGGGCGTGTTAAATCGCCTGGCCCCAGAAGAGGATACCCAGCCCACTTCCAGAGAGGTTAATGAGAAAGGGACACCCGGCAGAGGCCAAGAGTCGAGCCGGTGTTATACAAAAGAATTTCCATCATCCCCATGTGCAGGTAGGCCACAGCCCCACTCAGAGGGCTTTCAGAATTCCTGTGACTCAGATTCTAGCTCTCTTCCTTTCCCCCCTGTCCCATGGAAATTTCTGGTGGGATTATTCAGTACCCGCTGCACTGGGCTGTGGAAGGGTGGGAGAGGTCGTCTCGATTTTCTATTCAGTGGGCCTAGGAAAGCCGAAACGAATGAGATCTGATTGGAGAATTATACGCGTCCCCAAAACCCCAGACTTTGAAGTAGATATAGTGACTTCATTAGACTTATACGGCTCGGTATAAAAAGGTGAAACAAACAAAAGCTTGGCAAACAAATGCTTGGCCGGACTGTGTCAGAGCCGTGAGAGCTCCCCACTCTCCCGTCCTCCTCTGTTTCCGGGCACACGTGTGTAGTTGGTGAGACCATGTGACCACGCGGTTGACATCTAGCTGATACCACATCATTGGAAATACATGTCATCCATGGAATGAAGAGAAAGTGTGCTTTCCCTCCTGCTTCTTTCCCGCTATGAACAATAGAATACAACGAACGGAGTGACTGCTGAGGGCTGAGTCACAGAACAGGAGCAGCCTGAGTTCCCGCCAACACACAAAGGACTACGGAAGATGAGAATTAGAATTCCACTGTATGAATTCAAAGGCATTCAGGGGACTTTTTGTCACAAAACACAACCTAAACTGTCAAATACACATAACAGGAATAACACATTTTTCTTGTTTACTTTTTAATTTTTTAATGGTTAGGAACATGGTTTATATTAATCAAATAAGAATGACTACAGGAAGGCTAATGCGGCTGGGAAAGGAGGACCCATCCAGTTCAGGTTACTTCCAACACAGGCGTCATCGGGATGCAAAGAATGCAATGCAGGCACTGTCCTCAAGAAACTGTTTCCCTCACTGAGTGTATAAGGGGAAAGGAGCTGGATCAGAGAGTGGGCAACTTCTCCTTTAAAGTTAAAGTCATCTAGCGCATTGGAAGGCCGTGGGTACCACTCTAAGGAGATGCTTGGAGAATCCCACGGTTCCTAAAAGAAGAGTAGAAAATGGTGTGGGGACGTGTAGAAGGGCAGACAGGGTGCAAACAGGGACCCCCACCCTGGCGGTGCATCTGGGATCTGTGCAGAATCTCAGAAATGTTTTTGGAGGTGCACAACATATGGTTTTCCTCTAGCTCAGCAACATCTTCAAGACATTATAAAAACAAATATGAAATAATATCATATATTATCCATCATTTTGGGAAACAGAGCAGTTAAAAATAAGGATTAACAAAAACCAACCAACCAACCAACCAACAATCAAAAAACCAGGCAGAAAAAGCCACTGTATATATTGTGCTGAATTTGGTGTCAGGGTTTTTCTGTATCTTCCACAAACCCACACGCATGAATAGATTATAACAAAGAGACAGAACACTGTAAGTGGAATTAATGTCACAGAACTGTACATTTCCAATGTTTAAAAATAAATTTTATCACATATATTTTCCACAATAAAACATATTTTTAAAAGTGACTCCTAATCATGAGAGCCACAAAATTCATGATAGCTATGTATCATCAAGCCTGTCTCCCCACCCAGAATTGGCCAATTTAATTATGATTTGTCCTGGAGTCATTCTAGATTTTCCTGTGGTGGAACTCAGGAGTAATACGGAGCAGGCTCAACTTGTGGGCATCTAACATATGCAAGGGATGCAGTCCTCTCCCGAGAGTTTGGCAAAGACTCATCACCTTGTAATAACTTGTTAAACGATTGGAACCTTACAGTTTCCAAATGTGTCTGAGATCTTGCCAAATGTAGTTGAAGAGCTTGAACACCATGTGAGTACTTACTTCCTGCCTCATACCTCTTGTGTGTTACAGACCATTCAACCCACTGAGAAATTGAGCTTGCCAGTGACTATTGAAGTCTTTCTCACATTTTATATCGTCTTCTCCGCTGCTGGAGAAAGCTCTCTACTATCCCAGAGCCACCCTGCAGAGCCTCATACACCACGATGATCACCATGAAACCAAGAAGACAGGATGTAGGAGAAAGTGAGGAACTGAAATTACAGCAAACTGGACTGTGATGTGATACAAAAACCTAATTTTGGGCTCTGTTAATTAAATATTCTGAGTTTAAGCTTCTGTGTTTGAAAAATGGAATGGTTGTCTTTGATGCTATTAAAGTCTTTCATTTCCATGATTTTTTAAAAACCTACGAACTTGCTCTTCCCAACTTTGTAACTGATGAATTACCTTACCTGGATCAGGCGCATCTAATAGCGTAAGATTCACCTCCTGTTTGAAGTTACTGGAGAAAGCTATTTCCGTGGGATATTCTTGGGGAAAGAAACAGAAAAAAGAGGGACCGGAGAGGGAAAGAGAGAGTGCAAATGGGGTGTACATTTTAAGTATCAGAACTCCTGAGATGACTGCAGACTCCCAGGTCTGGATGGGGCACTGAGTATCCTCCTCCCCTTCTGCAGGTCCACCTGTAGGACTCCCTGCAAATGGTGGCCCCCCAGAAAAGGATGATGTTGCCTCAGACAATGAGTGTGGATTCTGTGAGTGATTATATGAGTGTGCAGCAAGGTAAAATGAATGTGTCTGTATGACACCATGAGGACCTGTATGTATCAAGAGTAATTGAAAAGAGAAAATCACAATGTAAAGTTAAAGTATGTAAGAACAGTTCTTTCTTCTAATGAAGAGAAGACCTATGGGCAGAAGACAGGATCAGAGGAAGCTTGGGGTGGGCCCCGTGAAACGCAGGGGTGACTCAGTTCAGTGCAGTGCAGTGGGGGAGCCATATGGCAGCTGTGAACAACCAGTGTGACAAGTCCTGGGCACTGTCACACACTTCCCAAGTACTGTGTCAGAAATGCTCTCTGAGTGTACCAGCAACCTTGTGCACATACACAGCACCAGAACTAAGTGGAGACAGCAATACCAACTCCTCCTTGAGCATGTGTTCTAGCTCACAAAGAGACCAGGGAAAGGGGACGATTCTACCAATGACACACAGCCAAGAGCAAAGGCAAAAGTAATTTAAAGTGAAAATACATTTCATTTGACCCTGAATCCCTTTCCAAATGAATTCAGAGGGATTGCAGGTCATCAAGGCACTAAGACCCTCTGCTTAACTCAGAGGCTCAGAGGATTCCTCAGAGTATGTGTGAGGAAGGCATCATAGCACATATGTTTAGAACGCAAATGAGAGATTTTGACTCAAGGTGATAACACATTGATTATAAGATCTACAGACAATTAAGCAGACACAAAAGCAGGGAAGCAGGGGAACTCAGCAGCTGGTCATCACCTCCTTGCTGTGGGCAGCATCATTTCTGCTTGGTCTTCTGTTGGTTGGGGTCTGGAGTGACTATTGAGGGGTACAGCTCTGGAACCTTGGATTGGCATGGTTCTGGGACCTTAGGGTAACCTGGCTCAGGGATCTTGGCATTTTCTGGTTGAGAGACAGTGGTGCATCCTGGCTGAGGGACAGTGTTGCAGCCCGCCTCAGGGACCACGGTGTATCCTGGTGCAGTGACCGAGGTGCATCCCGGCTCAGGAACTATGGTGTGGCAGGGTTCTGAAATCTTGGTGATTCCAGGTTGTGGAACAACTGGAGGGCACAGCTCCTTGGTAGCAGGAACAAAGGGCACTTGAGGGGGAGGCTGGTGGGGCTGCTTGATCTGCTTCTGTGGAAGCTGAGGCGGGGGGACAAATGGCTGCTTCTGCTGGTGGGAACACATGCTCGGAAGGCTGCTGGGCCTAGCAACAGAAAACTGATCAGTCATTTGGAGAAATAAGGAGGAAGCCCTGTTTA